AGTATACTTTACAGTATTGTACTACAGTATACTGTACATCACAGTACTGCAGTATACTGTATATCACAGTACTGCAGTATACTGTATATCACAGTACTACAGTATACTGTATATCACAGTTCTGCAGTATACTGTACATCACAGTACTGCAGTATACTGTATATCACAGTACTACAGTATACTTTACTGCATTTGTGTCAATGCAGGAAAACAAAACATCTCTAATGTAAAACAAGGCAGTTGTGTGTGTGTGGATTATGGATCCTGTTCCTGCTCGGACTGTTTCCACAAAGGAAAGTTCCTGCTGTTGAACAGTTACTGACCACCTCCAGAAGGTCTTCTAGTCATTTTGTATAAATATGAAACCACAAATTGTTACTATAGGTTTAGTTTTTACATTATTGTAAAATGTGTACAGTACTGTGACATCTCAGTTTTATGTCCTTTACTGGATTGTATGTTTCACAAAACCAATTTTTTTTCAAAAGGAGGAATAGCCAACTCACAACAGAGTACATGTGATACAGTACTGTACATACTGTAGATACAGTCTGCAGTAGAGAGTTGAAGACATGTTTCCATCTGAAGGTCTTGATGATGAAGCTGTGGCTGGACTCTCTGCTTTCCTCAGTGTGAGGCCATGGTTTAGTTTCTCTGATGTAATCAGAAATATAGTTTTGTGCATGTCCTTCAACCATTTCCTCCTCCTCTTGCTCCTTGTTTTCCTCTTTCTCTCAAGTGCTCCTCCTGCCTACAGACTTGCACAATTCTGAAAACTGAGGTCTGGCTGATGTGTGACGCGTTTTGTAAGTCAGTGTTTTCATGTGTGTGTCTCAGTGTTTTCAATCACTCAATGTGTTTGGTATTTTGAATAGATGTGTTTTCCCAATGATAAAACAGGATTTCATTTATGAACAAAGTGTCTTATGTCTGACACAGTGTGTAGTGAGCAGGAGTAAGTGTGTTGCAGAAAGAGAAAGTGTTTTGCAGATATAGAAAGTGCAAAGCAGTACTTTTGTTTAAGGAATGGTTAGTCTGTGTTTTAGGTTCAGAACAAAAGCTTCAAGTTCTGTAACTTTGATCTAAGCATGTGTCTGTAGTGTTCTTCCAAACGGTTGTAAAACAAAAATGAAGTACTTTTCCCTTGTTTTGACTTCTGAAGGCCAAGCTACATGGCACCGTGGAAGCTGCTGATTGGAGGACTGCATTCCTCCATGCTGTATAATACACTTGCATTCTGTCGTGTTTGTGTTCGTGCTGTCTCTACCATTGACAATAAAACATATCTTCTGTCTGAATGAAAGACACGATCCCAGACTTTGTCATCTTCTTCACGTCTACAGATCTGTTGGCTCTGTAGGCGAACTACAGGGGGTCCAGGTGGGCAGAGGTGGAGGACTTGAGATGAGAGAGGACCAGGCGCTCAAATGTCTTCATAACTACAGGCGTCAGTGCCACGGGTCTGTAGTCATTAAGTCCAGTGATCCTGGACTTCTTGGGGACGGGTACAATGATGGAGGATTTGAAGCAGGTGGGGACATGGCAAGACTCCAGTGACGTGTTGAAGATGTCGCTGAAGACTGGGGACAACTCGTTCGCACAGTGTCTCAGGGTGGCGGGTGAGATTCTGTCCGGGCTGGCAGCACTTCGGAGATGCAGCCTAGAGAACTGTCGTCTGGCCTTCTCTGGAGCTATTGACAGAGGAGGGACGGGGGGGGCAGAGGGGTGAGGTGTAAGGTGTCAAATGAGCAGTGGGGGGAGGTGTCAGGAACAACATCAAAGCGGCTGAAGAACAGGTTTAGCTGGTCAACCAATTTGCGGTCGTTTGCGGTCACACACTGTTGCTGGTATTTTGGCTAGGGCTGGGCGATATGGCTAAAAAAACACCAGATCACACCAAATCCGGTTTTTGATTTTAATCGATTATTTTTTTCTAATTAAAAACAAGCTACAATTGACAAAGAAATAGATTTTCCTTTATGCAATTTAATCTAAATCCCCATGGAGCATAAGTGTCTTTCCTTTACATGGATCAGTCGTCCTGGTCCCTTTGCAGTAAAACAGCCCCAAAGCATGATGTTTTCACCCCAACAATAGGTCAGGTGCACCGAATTCTTTCTCCTCCAAACACGACGAGTTGAGTTTTTACCAAAAAAGTTCTATTTTGGTTTCATCTGACCATGTGACATTCTCCCAATCCTCTTCTGGATCATCCAAATGCTCTGTAGCTTCAGACGGGCCTGAACATGTACTGGCTTCAGCAGGGAGCACTTTGTTTCTGGTGTCCTTTGACAGCTCTTTGGTATTGGCCATAGTGGAGTTTGTAGTCTGAGGCTGAGTTTACACGGAGACAATGTGGCAGTAAAACGGTATAGTTGGATGTCGGTTGCTACCAACCGTTCATACGAAGACTGTGTTTCAGGTGAAAACGTAAGTGTTCAGATCCAGCCTGCAGAGTGGGACAACTCAGTTACGCTGCACAGCGGGGGCTCTCTTTCACACCCACGAGAGGGAAAAGGTGTGAAATCCCCCTCTGCTCTGACCCCCACCTCCTGCTGCTCCTGCACGTACATTTGGACATGCGCAGTAGCGGAGAACCAACAAAAACAAAAATGGCGGCGGTCACACTAACTAGCTTCGTGGGCTTCCAGCGCTGCACAGAGGATAATTCTACTCCTTCGTTCGTCCAAACGAGACCACGCGAAGCTCTAGGTTCAGTTTCCATTTTCACAGCTGCTGTTAAAATGCAGAATGATGTTGGTGCGTTCTGAGGGTCTGGCACAGGAAGTGAATATACTGCCGGGAGGGGGGCTGGGGGTCGTGTGTCGTGTTGTAAAGTTTCTCTGCCCACTACTGGCCGGGCGCTAGAACTACATCGTTTTTCAACCTCATGTGAACGCTGAGAAATTTGCATTAGGAGCCTGGTCGTTTCTGTTAATAGCCTGGAAACGTCTGCGCAGCGTCTCAGTATAAACAGGGCCTGACTGTTTGAGGTTGTGGACAGGTGGTCTTTTATACTGATAATACGAGTTCAAACCATAGAATGTATATATTAATGGACAGAGTCACGCCTATCTCCGCCGTTCAAACTAATGGGCCAAAAAATGGAGCAATCCAAAATGGCCGCGAGTGGTCCCGCCCACAAGAAAATTGTGAAAAAACGTATCTGCGCATGCATCAGCCGGCGAAGCTCCATTCATTTGAAAGAGAGACTTCTAAAGTCCACAGCAACTAAACTAGACTGGTCCAAAAAAATACACCCCCCTCAGCATTGACACACATGTGGAACGGAGCTTTGGACCAAGAGACAACTTTTGGACCATCCTGTAAAGACGTTTTTGAGAGGTCTGCTAACGCTATATGTTAGCATTGGCTAACTCTTATGGGGGTCCACCCCCATTGGCCCGGGGTGGTATTGCAAGCATGTCAACGCACGTCATTTTGGCCACTTTTGAGCCGGGACCCGCCCCCACTGGTTCAAACAGATGCCATTAATACAGGTAACAAGTGGAGGACAGAGGTGCCTCTTAAAGCTGCACTAACTGACTTTGAGACATTTTCGAATGAGAACGCTGGGCTTGTGCTCTCTGCTCGCCCTCTCTGCACGGAGCTTTGCCCCCCTCTACCCCCCCCCCCCTCAGCCTGTGCTCATGCCAACTGTATACGAAGCTCACGCATGTGTCTATTGCGAGCTCACGTCTCACAATATGGACACATTTGAACGTGGATGACGTGACCATAGAATGATAGAACCGTGAAGCACGGAGGAACAAGACTTTCTTTAGGCTGTTTTCCTGTGTAAGCAGTAACCGGTAACGAAGACACGGGAAGTTTCAGGTTAGCCTCCGCCGCTTGTTTACCTCAGCTGTCTGTGCTAACCAGAGACCTGTGGCTTTTCTCAAGAAAGTGGGGGCCAGTGGTCCGCTGTGATTGGTCACAATCGGGACCCGAAACACATTCTCTTCCTTGTTTCACAAAAACTCAATCTAAAATAAAATCACACGCAACACAAATCTGCGCTACTTAATCTTCAAAAGTACGTATATCACAATGCATTGCATGGATATGGATTGCATTATCGCAATGAATATAAAAATAAAGTCAGTCGGTGCAGCTTTAAAGAAGGAGTTACAGGTCTGTGAGAGTTTGGAGATGACCAAATACTTATTTTCCAACATAATTTGCAAATAAATTCTTTAAAAATCAGACTGTGATTTTCTGGATTATCTGATGAAAATTACGGGCCTCCTTCATCTTTTTAAGTGGGAGAACTTGCACAAATGGTGGCTGACTGAATACTTTTTTGCCCCACTGGTCTGTATTGATTATTGAAAGCTACTTAAAGCAATCACATGGCGACTTTAAGTATTTCACTAAAGCGGTTTTAACAATGACAAGTGAGGAAATAGAGTTTATTGAAGCTGGGAGATTGCTTCAGTCCTCGGGGGCTCAAATGCAAAAGGCATGTCTCCCAATCTCTTTGTGTTCTTTTAGAAACGCACAAAATACATAGAGGCTGGTCTTTTACAGTCCGCAGAGTTTAGCTTTGTTTTTACCCCAAAGACATTGTATGTTTGTGTTCTCCAACTGGTTAGCTACAAAATAAGACCTTTCCAGAGGTATATGTGTTC